ATACCAAAGTCGAAGTAGTAGAATAAGAGTTTTTGCCAACGAAGTACATACATATAAATTATTTTAACCAATTTATCTTTAAAATGTATTTTTAAACAAAATTTATTATTAAATTTATAAATTATATATTTATTTTCGGGCTTTCCGGGCCGGTCCGAACCTAATCGGGCTAAAGCCCAAAAACTCAATAGCCCGAAGACCCGATTTTTTGGGCCTATATATTCAGGTCCGAGCTCGGTATTTTTAAGGGTTGGGCCGGAACGGACTTCGGGCTTTGACCCTAATTGACATGCCTAGGAGAAACTTATCTTAATTCTTCCACACCAATGGTGAGAAACCCATAGAGTCTTTAAAAAATAAAATATCAACATAAATAATATATTTTCTCAATATTTTTAAAAACTATAGCACTAATATTTTCTAAAACATACCAAATTACATTTAAATATATCTAATTACAATAATCAAATTTTTTTTATCATCTATAATAATAAATATAATGTGTTAATTTTAATAAAAATATTAATAATATAATCATAAAATTACAAAGCATAAACTTATTAAAAAAAATTAAAATGTTTGAAAAGATAACATATATAAAATCTAAAAATACAATTTTAATATTTTTAATCTTATATTTTTAATATATTAATATAATTCTATTAACTAAAATATTACTAATTTCGTATTATTGTATCAAATTTAATTAATATCAAATAAAATAATATTAATATAGATAGTTTAAATATATACATAATGGTAAAAAACTAAACATAATCACAATTAATATATTAATATACATTATTGTGTATTTGATATACCACTAAAAAACTAAACTAATGGTAAAATGACATGTGTCTAAACATGAATATCTAAGGGCATCTCCAACGCTGAAACCTTGTTGGGTTTCTTAAATATTGTTTACTTAGTTTAATTATTTGTTTAAATATTAAATGATTAAAAAAATTGTAAACTAATTGTCAAACAACAAGTGGCATACTTGTTTCTTAAACTATCGTGAGTCTTTTCTGTGCAGAGATA